TTTTTTTTTTTTTTTTTTTTTTTTTCATTTGATTTGCTTAATTCGCCTCATTAATTAACGAACATTCGCTGATTAAATCGTTTAGGCCACCTCGACCTTCGACATACGATCCCGGAATCCGAGTGACACGGGACTTTGCGGCGCCAAGATAAATTCGAACTGCAAGCTGAGCTCTTCCTCGACAACTATTTCGAATTCCCGAGCGATCTGAATAAAAAAAAAAAAAAAAAACAAAATCAAAACTGAAATAAACCAATAATAAATCAACCAATTCGGATAAAATTCACTAAAATAAAGAAATTATAAATTTTTTTTTTCTTTTTACAAATAAAATAAATTTATTGTGTGACGACGTCAAAAAAAAAAAACAATTAAACAATAAAATTGATCAAAAGTGTTGTGTGTCAAGCCTTGAGAGAGAAACTTTGTATAACTTTACTATATATCGCGTGGTGATGCAAAACAAAAAAACTTGTGTGGCAAACCTTCGCTAGAATGAGCTGCAGAGCGAGTTCGACGAAACGTTTTCCCGGACATATTCTTCTACCAGCCCCGAAAGGAGCTACCAACAGGGGCGAGTGAGGCAGCGTGGGTTTCAACCATCTTTCCGGCATGCACTCGGACGCGTCTTTGAAATTCTCCTTGCTCATTCCTGCTATCCAAGTATGCAATAACACAACTGTCTGCGGAAAGGGAACAATATTAAAATAATTCTGTGCTCGCTCAGATACGCGCGCGCGAATAAATATACTCCGGAGATTCTCTTACCCCAGGATCGAGACGATACCCTCCCAGTTCTATTGGCTCGTCTAATATGCGAGCTATGCAAGGCGTCGTGGGCATGAGTCTGAAATATATAACGTACACAACTTTACATTGTATGTAAACATATTTGGCGCACACAACGCATTCTTATATATCATAGAGTCTGTATCTAAAAATATCACATCTAAAAATCAAAATCGAGTCCGATAATTAAAACTGAGAAGTAATTATAATTAATATTATAATTAATACTATAAATTAACTGTTTAAATATTATAT